GATACCTTCTATTTAATTTTCAAGTATATTGGCACGAGATGAAAAGCCAAACCAATAAGAAGCGGGAAACAATACATAAGCAGTGGCTACTGTGAGCAGCGATGATAGACCATCCTGAGATCTAAAAGATGATTACTCGAAAATGGAGCAGAAAATGCGGGTACGACACTTGTACTGCTGCCGGCATTAACGAAAGTCATTTTCATGGTACAACTACCGTACCGCCGGGTTTCAAAAGTTAATATTATACTTCTCATTTTTCTGAAAATACCATCATTAATGACTGTCATTGGAGTTTTGCAACTATTCCAAGTATTTTTTTCTTTTTTTAATTTCTCTAGCCACCCACTGCTCACATGAAATTCACTTTGACCTAAAGCTTTGACATACTCCATAGCTTTTTCAAGTATCAATGGCTGTGATACTGGCACATTTTTTTCCTCACTGTGTACAGCCATTTTAACATTGCTTCATCAACGTCTTCATAAACATGTTTTCTTATATTTGGCACTTGGATTCAAAGCTTGATGAAATTTTTTCCAGAACTTTTGATTAACTTTTCTGAAAAATTCCAAATTTTATGGCAATGTCTTTCTTTTTTACACTTCTGTCCATTCTGTTGAGAATTAGCATTTCTTATTTAAGAGTTAACATTTATTTTGACATTTTTATCATTCAATACACAACTAACTTTAAAAACTGTCTACAGCATGAAACCACAAAAAGCAGAAATAAAAATAGCATGCACTTGTTGCTTAACTTTAAACAGTTTTGTGAAACAGGATTGGTTGGATAATTTTTAACAAAAAGATTTTTATTCGAAAATCTCTCTCCCCACTTCACTCCTCATGCAGAATGGAATGTGACAGCAGATAAACAAGACCCTTTTTTTATTTAGGACCACAGTTGCAAAAAAATATACATGTAAGAGCAAATGAATAAATAATTTAAAGTAGAAAGAAAAATCTTGAAAAATTATTGACTCAAAAACTTCAAACCCTCTGACCAGCCAGGGTTTTCACCAAAAAAGTACAAATTTTCCAGAACTACTATGAGAAAAAATTGTCTTTATTTTAATGTAAAAATTCTCCTGGTATTTTATACCTGGATTTGCGCACTTTTAATATATTGCCTTAGTTTCTTTGACATATTTTAACATCCACATATATATACATTTTGAGATATGAAAAAAATATTCTAGGCTTTATATATACAGCCTTGCTGATTAGAGGGTTAAATAGACAGAGTACTTCACTATTTGGAGTTCTTTGTACAATTCAACCCTTGCACAGAACCCCGTAAAAAAAATTTGCTATGTAGAGGCATTCATAAAATAGTGTTCATTAAACAGAGATTTGACTGTAAATAATAATGATAAATGCTTTAATGCATACACATAACTTTTCAAAATGTTTACTGAAAGAAAACAAATCAATCACAAATTCCTTTTTTAACACTTTTTTTTTTTTTTTTTTTTCCCTGTGTGTGTGAATTAACTGCAAAAAAATTTGTACTTTTTGGGACCAGATTTAGAAATGCATGTATGTGCATATACATACATCTATGTATACATAGCTATATTTCTGAACACAGTTCCAATAACAAAAAAAGTATAAAAATTTCACAGCAACACCCTCTTTCATTAAAAAAAAAAAAAAAAAAAAAAAAACTATACATCCCATGCTGCAAATGAACATATTGATTACCACATCCAGTTTTAGAATTATGGTCTCAGAGGTCAACTTGATTTAATCATGTATATCAACAGTAAATTATGGAAAGAAGAAAGCAAAATTACAAATTTTCTTATATTTAGAAAATAATGGGCTAATTATTGTCAACAATACTTCCAAGGGGGGAAAAAACTGCTATCACAGTTTATTCTAGAGAAGTTTATAGTAAAATTTGACTTATCAATAACTGGCAGCAATTTTATTCTGAAGTATCATGCGTTCAACTGAAACATTCAGAAAAGCTAAATATTTTCAACTAAAATATAACATTCACATATTTAATTTAAAATTTATTTACTTGAATAGAATTTAGATATTTCAGACGAAAATATTTTGTTCTCTTTGCTAAGACAAATTTAAAGTTGATACAATAAAATGAAAATGAATTAAGTGAAATGAATTATTTAAAATAAATAAAATATTATCACCATCTGTAATGGCATTATATATAACTACAATTATTACATATTCTAATTTTCTATATTATACAAAGCATTCAATTTTTTATGTGTAAAATTAAGTCAAATTTTATCTTATCAAATTTTATTATTAGTGTTCCCCCCCCAAAAAAATTTAGATTTTATGCTAAATAATTTATAGCTATATAAATAAATTGGGTTGATCTTTACAATATGGTAACTGGTAGTTTGGCGACATTTTGGAGGCGATAAAGGTTACTACCTGGGACTTTGGTAATAATGTGAGCAGTACTCAGTTCCGATTACGCATTATTTTGCGTGAGGGAAATGAGAGATCATGGGATATGTCATGTGATATTAATGGACGAATTACGGTTCTTTAATCGGAAAAGGGGGGAAATCGGGAAAAAATGTGGAAATTTTGTATTTAGCTTTATTCTGTGTTGTGTGAAACAGTGTTGTGTAATTTTTGGATCCCATGGCCCTAACTAAAGTGATTCGAAATGGGTATTTAGGCATTGTGATAAAGAGAAGTTTGCTTTTTATTTAGCAGAGGAAGTATGGAAGAAAAATTTGCAGAACAAATCTTTGAATAATTTTATTGAATGAATTAGAAAAGTGTATCTGCCACGTAATCAAGATTCTGAAGAAGATTAGGTAAGTTAGTATTTTTAATTATTTGAGGATATTATTTTTATGCATTTTTCTAAATGTAAGGTGGAAAGGAATTTGGTATTATTGGGAAAATTGTTATTAGCAATGATTTAGTTAAAGTAATTCGGATTGTAAGGTAATTTTTATTAATTTAATGTATGTGCTCATTTATATTTTAAGTAGTGTTTTTGAATTTAATTATATTTTAATGAAATGATAGTTATTTTGTGAATTTTATGTTTGTAGGAATTTGGTATACGTTTAAGTTGAAATAAACTTGCATGGAAATAATTTAAATATTTGATACTAAGTATTTGTAATACTTGCGGTATGAATTCGTTGGTGACGTGTATAATGTAATAGATGATTTAGAAATTTTTGGATATTTTATTTATTTTATATGTGGAAATGTTCATATTTGTAAAGGGTAAATACTTTTCGCGATCAGGTAATTTCATATATGTTCTTTTTACCGGGTTTAAAGATTGAGAAAATTGTCATGTATTTTCGTGAAATTTTTCTAATTTATGAGAAAAAAGCAGTGTACATGGATATAGTGAAGAGTGTGCGCAATGCCATTTTTGTGCAATTCTGGGATGTTTTTTTAAGTAAAAATAAGTCGGCTTGTACATGGTTTATGTGTATGTGTTATTTTGAAAAACACGTAAGGAGTATGGTATTGTGTTTTCCCAATTTTGCAGTGAATATTTGTCATGATTAAGCAGTTTTGTTAGATAAAATTTCTAGCATAAGTGTAATTCGGCTAGTAGATTGTTGGAAGAAGTGTTCAGTAGATAAAAAGAAAAGAAACACGTCTTTACTTCGTGAAGACAAAATGGCGGCGGGGAAAAAAAATAGAGGGTTGCTGTAGGAGAGTTGGTTGCCAAATTTTCGCCAAAAAATCGCCAAGTTACCATAATGAAAGATCAACCATAAATTGTATGTATATTTTTTTTAAATATTATTTCTCAGTCTGGCATTATTATACATATCTGTTAACTCTGTTACTGCATATAACTGTTAATTCTTTTTAGAACAATGAAAAGTAAGCAAAGTAAGAAAAAGTACTAATGAAAATATTTCTCCTCAGATATCAATGGAAGCAATTTAATAATTAAAAACAAAGTACAGATTTTTTTTAGCAGACAATTTTAAAATCTAGAGAGTAATATTAATTACTTAAAAGTTTTTTAAAAAAATTTATAAAATGCCAAAAATACTTAAACTACTATTTGCATATAAAATAAATGTACGTTACTAAATGTTAGATTGAATTCAGAATAATTGATAATGACATTTTTAAACTTTTAACGTAAATTCTTGTTTATTGAGTTCAATATTTATTGAGGACCTACTATAAAATCGGTTCAGTAACCTAATTGCATATATTTTTAAAGTATAATTAAAATAATCCTTTTCAGACTAGATTAGTGAAAAGATTTTTTTCCTTTTAATTTTAGATTTTCTCTTCTTTTACAAACAATAAAGTTGCAATAAAATTGGAATTTAAATATTAGCATATAATTTTTTCAGAGATCAAATTTCAGTGAAGCTAAAATTGACAAGTTTTTATCTTCACAGGAAAACTAAACACACAAAAAATTCGATTAACACATGGAGGTATATAAATACACTTATTGTAAAAACAAACTTTAAACAGAACTACTAAAAAGAAATGCAAACACTGAAATTATAAATGTTGACGCCTTGAACTGCCAATCACAAGTCGGATAAGATTACTTAGTTACATTTTTATTTTACTAAATATTATAAATCGTTCTAACTACATGAACAGTAAATAATATGAAAAAATATGTCCTCTCTTATCCGCAAATTAATACTTCAGGAAATTTTTTGGGAGCTAAATTTCGCAACCTTAACGAAATCATCCGGAATGAAAGTAGAAATAATTCAGAAAGTTATATTAATATCATATTTTCTATTATTTAGATCTACATCTAAACTGTTATTATTATGAATCACTTTTTTACCCCCACAAAAAAAAGTTTGGGAGCCTGCCCTTTTTTTTTTTTTTTTTTTTTTTTTTTTAAGTTTAACCGTTTAAAGAAATACTTTTACATTTTCTTTGTTCTTAGATATCTTCATGCAAGCTACATACTTCAGAGTGAGATAGAGTTAATTGTTGGAGAATTATTAATGAGTTAAATAAATGTATGAAATTAATAACACTCACTTGTTAAGCGAATTTTCATTGCTCCGTTTCGCCTGCTAGGTTGGTTAGCCATGCTCTGCCTTCCAACACTTTAAATGATCCTCATATAGTAACACTTTGGACACATATTAAAATAATTTTGAGAGTAATCCATGACAGATAGGGAAACATTAAAAACATACATGTAGCTCTACCTCGCTACGTGACATTACCCCCTGAGTGACGGAGTGATACAAGCTTCAGTATTAGAGATCCCACCTCATACAGTGACAGAACTAGTATCCTGCCGCGAAGAAAATAGTTTAGCAGTGTTAATTCAAATATTTTTTATCTGAACATAATTGGTTATTTAAATATTTGTAGACATATCTTTAGACAAATCAAACTTTTATGTTAAATTTTTTTCTTAAAAATGAAGTTAGATAAAATAACTTTGAAAAAGTTTACATTAACTTTTAGTTATTTTCCTTCCGCAAGATGTCAGGAATGACCATATCCAGCATAAGAACAGCCATTCCTATGTATCAAATATTCTATTTGTTTGTTGTGCACAAATAATAATATTTATTTCAACTATATTAAATAATCTTCATGATGTCAGAACATTGGAAAAATTATGAGTAATTGTTTCAATAATCAAAAATAATTATTGATTCGAGCGACAACTTTGTCATTATCTAAGCAGCCCGCTGTTTATTTACATGCGAACTTTTATTGATTTATTAGTTGGATGTGGCAACTCGATGATGTTTATACTCTTCTGCAATTAATTTTTAGTTTGTGTCAGCGTGCCGTATGTTAAAATTATGTCATTTGCACTTTCCTGAGAATTATTTTTTGAAATCGTTTGTCATATCTGTATTAAAACTGCATTATTTTGTTCAGACGGCCCATAAACTAGAGATGCTCTGTCAGTGTTCATTTTAATATATGTGCTTCATGGAATCGATCAGCATATCTATACAAAAGTAAATTAGCAACAATTATTATAAAAAACTGCTATCAATTTTGTGTTTATTTTACAATAATATCAGACTGTTTTTTCCTTCTCATTCAGATAATGTAAATGGATAGTGATCAGATTTGTGCCAAATAGTTTCTCATTACAGCACTATATGAGTGTTCATATTTCGCAAAAATATAAATTATCGTGTTCTAGTTTACTCGTTTTTTATATATTGTTTCTGAATTGAAGGGAATTCTCAGAATAATTGTAAATACACTCATTTTGGCTAGTTTTTCACTGAAATCAGAATGTGATGTACTCTGGCTAAAAGATAGTGTTCAACATTAACCCTTTATCGGGCCCAGGCCATTTATTTTCAAAATTCATATTTTATGCAACTATTAGAGAAAAGTAGCTCGTTTATGACCAAAAATACTATTTTTGGAATTTGGTTGTTGTTGTTTCTAATAGGGGTGGTAACATATTTACCACCACCCGGTATAAGCAATGGCATTTTACTGTATTGTGCAAAAGAAAAAAATCATAATTACAAAAATATCACAAATAAACATGTATTTTGGAGTAAAACTATTTATTCTTGATTATTTAAATATACATATAATATAAAATCGATGATTAATATAAAAGTGATTATAGATATAAATATAACCAAATGCAATATTTCTACTGATTTTAATTTTAATTTTTATTTATAACATGAAGCAGCACAGAATGGTACGTGACATGTTGAATATAACACCTTTGTACGTTTCTGATTTACTTTTGTGCTGCAATATTTTCACCTTCTGTAACTTTCTCCTCTGACTGGCATGTGTTTTCTAACATTAGTTGTTCGGATTTCCCCTTGGAATAGCATTTTCCTTTTTTGCTGATACCCAGTTTGATTGCAGTTTTTGTTTTTTACTAGAGAAGCCTCCAATTAGGCTGCGAGCTACTCTCAACCTAAATTCAAATCTTTTTCCTAGTGTAAACTTCAGACTGATATAGGTAACCAATTGATGCGTTTGATCTAGCCCAAATCTTATAAACTCTTTTTACAGGCTTCCCTAGGCATATATTGCTTCATTGTGGACCTTCCTTTGAATTTTACCATTTTTTCATCAATAGATTGAAGTCTGAATATTTTTCTTGAATTTTTATCTAAATGGGTGATCAAAGAACGCATTTACTGTAATTTGTCAAATTCTGGCTCATTTCAAGGGACAGCCTTTTGATTGCCATTGATATGCAAATTTGAAAGGATATTTTTTTAATCTCTTTGCTGGCATAATTGACGAAGATTTCTTGATTATTGAAAAAAAGAGTCAGAAGACCAGTACAAATCTAAGGTAACTTTATTGATCCCCTTCATAATTATGATTTCCCCAAAAAGCCTGCAGTTCTTCTTGCGTGAGGGAGTCCTTTTTCGGAATCTTCAGGATCTGAAGGCAGTGCAAAATAAAGCTCTACAGCTTCCTCGGTGATTAATTTTTTTTTTTCTTTTTCTTTCAATGCGTTTACCTAAAATAATATTCATTACATTAAATTAGTTACTTATATTTTAAAATCTCTTGAACATACTGATCAAAATATTACCTTTATGGCATTCTAAAATAATATTTTAATTATAATTTCTAAATACATAAATAATTGTGTAATCGTAAATGAACGCTAAATATTTTCCATAATATTTATAATAATTAATATTAGAAATAATTAATTATTGAAATGCTAATATAAAAGTATTAGATATACAAAGAAATCAAGTACCATGCCAAACAAAATGCTATTTCTAAAGTGAAACATATTTAGTAAAACTGTGTTTCTATCAGGCAGTGGTAAATTATTTACCACCTCTAAAATCAGTAAGCATGCCGTGGTAAATAATTTACCACCAAATTCAAATATGTATAAAACAAAATATTTCGCTATAATTTTTTAAATGCCTAATACAATTTAGCTATCAAACCTTTAAGATACAAAATATATGAATATATAGCTTTTAACGTATTTTTATATATCATTACACAATAAAATAAGAAAAGAGTACGTGCTTACTCTCTCCATTTTGCTTGAAAACTGGATGAATGCAGAAATGTTGCGGTTTATGTGGCCTCTACAGCCATCTATTACAGAAAATGTGAAGCTCTGGTTCCAGAGGAAAATTCCTGATATCGGGCGCTGGTAAATAATTTTTCGTATGCTGCTAGAAAACAAATTGCTTAGTGGTAAGATATTTACCACCGCCTGTAAAAGGGTTAAAGCCATTTTAAATTTATGATATTGGCAATAATTTAAGAAATGTCATAATTGGCCGGGTAGTCCATTTACATAACAAAATTTAATAACTTATCATTCCTAGCATCATGATTATGCTGGTTTTGGTACCTGCTGAAAGTCCAGTTGACCGTGAAAGTTGATGAAATTATGGCTTAACCTTCCAGAGGCCAATCATTTGCTTTTTTTCCCCGCCATTTAGCCAAACCCCACAATCTTCAATGTTTTGTGGGTGTACTCCAGTGTCCTGACCTACAAAATTATACCTCTTATCAACTTTGAAATATTCAAAAATTAGCAGCTCTTATTGTATCGCTTTTACAAGCTTTCTGTGAATATGAGTATATTGTAGAACCTTTTTCATTGTTATCTTTTATTGCTTGCATAAGTGTTATCACCTTCCTATTTTGAACTTTTACCTTAGGTAAAAATATATTTACAGGTGCCCCTTGGCGATTTCTGGTGGTACATGGATACCGAGTTTGTGCAGTTCTCTGACTTGTTATTTTGGCTTAAAAATTGCTGCTACACAAAGACAAAATAACAAACTCAGTATCCATGTACACATTGGCCTATTTTTATTTAAAACATAAGAGAGTTGCACAAACTTGGCATTGCACACTCCCTTGACTTTATCCATTTACTTATCGACCTATTTTCACTTAAAAACATAAACATCAGAGAATTGTACAAACTAGGGTTTAATCCTAGTATCCGGTGCATACAGGATTTGGCGACTTTATGATGAGCAGTAAAAACGAAACATATACGGTGAGTAGTAAATGGGTCATTCAAAGAATATATATAGTTATACATAGTATATACTATGTATGTAGTGATAGTATATACATATATGTTATTTGGGTCGTTTTTGGTGTTGGTGATAATTTTCAAAATCGCGCCAAAGCTGCACCGTATACCAGGATTTTACCCAAACTAGGCATTGCGCACTCCCTTGACTTTGTCCTTGTACACATTGAACTAGATTCACTTAAAAAGTCAAAGGAGCAGCCAACAAAAAATATATAATCATAATAAACTACATTTTAAATGAAGCAATGAAATAACTAAAAAAGGAAATTCATCTTTGCACTACACAAAAGGAATACCTACTTACCTTATTTACAAATTAATGTGTCTTCAGTCAAACAAAATTGCTTAACAGCATTCAAAAACTTTCTAAAATTATCTGAACTAGAATCTGTATACTGGCGTCATCACATAAATTCACAAAAATAGGAGTAAAAAATATCCTTCGTAGCGCTGTTATCGTCCGACGTTCGACCATATGCGTTTCCTTCTTACAAACAGGACATTTAATAATGGCTACTAAGTAAATCTTCATTTACACACCAGTCAATTAATGCTGTTTTCCCCCTTTCTTTCCAAATTATATAAAAACTTCAATTTAATCTTACCTCATTCAGCCATTTTATCGTCTAAACCACAAAATAAACAATGTACTTTCTAACCAGCACACACCACAAGCCGTTACAAATCTTTTCAATTAATTCAAAATTTACTGCAGTCATGTAACCGATTACATCATAATAGGGTTTCCATAACATTCAACTATTCAGGTTACCATAAATGAAACAACAACTTTGTGATAATACAAGGGGCTCTCTTCAATCTACTCTAACCTTACCTTAGAACACTCATTCATTTCCTTGCAAATTCTTCTAAACAACCATTGCTGATGGTTTTTATGTTTTGAGGAAAGGCTGTCATCAATTTTGAGAATGAGTTTGGCCCCTTTAATTTTTTCTTTTGGCCTTGTTAGAAGACTGTTTGTACAAACTTCTCTTAAATATTTTTTTCCATTCGATAACAGTCTTCTCACTCATCTTTTAATTCTTCTTGTCCCTGTTGAATACTAGCCAATTCTCTAAGCCACCAGTAAAAAATGATTAAACCCTTGAACCACATATCTTTCCAAATGGATGTTCATTTTTCACTAGTCAGTATTGCAACACCATTGAATTTGTGTTTTTAAATAAAACGCCATATCATAGCCATTATCACAATTTTTGGATGATGGTAAGATTCCATAATTTTGAAAGAATTTTACCATTTCTTGTCCTGTAGTTGAGGAATCCCAAGTTTAAAACATTTTTTACCACCCAGAGCTGTAACAAGGCTTAGAACAGCAACAGCTTTACTGCATGAGCTAGAACGAAACTCGTTAAGTCCATGTGTCACAGATTTTATCATTATTTATCTAAAAATTGCCTCTTGGTGTCATTGCCTTCATTTCGTGAGAATGATTGACTGAATTTTCCATGACTACCATACCAAATTCAGAATACCTATCATTCCTAGCAGTTGATAATTGTGGTTTCTTAAGGATTTCACATTCTTTTTCATATGTAGCGCCAGTGCAGCTTCACTGGGTAGTGGCAAAACTTATAGAATTTAGAGAAGCAATGAACAACAAAATTTTCTGAATTTATGGATAGTACTGGGCAGCAGAGTTTTCAAGCGTCAAAATTTTTAGAATTTAAGGAGGCACTAAGCAGCAGCATTCAGGAAGCTTAGAAGGTGCACGGGATGACAAAATACTTAATACACTCAAAAGTCATTAATCCAGACTCGTCGGGACTTCGATTCCGGATTATAGATCATCAGTTTAAATCTGGTAAGATGGCATGCAGAAATTATAAAATTAAAAATATGAAACCGTAATTTATGAAATAAAGAACAATTATGATCTAAAGGTATCAAAATTTACAAAAAAAAAAGCTTAATATTTTTTGTCTTCTTTATTAAACATTTCTTTCAATGTAAGTTGTTTAAGTTGCTTCGTTTTATGTGATAATACTTTCTCTTTAATTCTATAAACAGATATAATTTCTTCTTCAGTTACAAAGTTCTGCTGTTCAAGTCCTATAATTGCTGTGTCGAGAATACCGACTAATTTGTCAATCGAAATTTTTTCGTTTTCAATAACCTCTGTGTCACTTTCTTCTTCATCGGAAGCGAATTCTAATGATGAGGAATTTGATTTAAATCATATCAGAGTACATCGAGATAAAATATTACATTTAGTAAGGAATTATAAGCCAAATAAAATACGAGGGTTGGAACTTTAATAGTGGCAACACAGCTGAAAAACCGCTATGCAACAAAACCAAAGAATATCGCATATACCACACGTGAACTACATACCTACCTTACCTCTCAGCAAAAAGACTCGTCCTGCCTACGTCACGCGCATGCGGAGTGACGCGAAGAACGGATCCTTGTATTAGCTCGCGGTCTAAAGTAAGTGTTGTCAGGATGTTTTCAAAACAAGAACAACGATGTTGTATAAAAATTTAATGATCAAGGGCTTCAAGAGGCTTGCGGGGAATCTGCATTGCCTTACAGAAGCATATCAAGATGTGTGAAAGCATTCAGTGAAGGACGCCAAAACGTGGCAGACATGCTGCGGCCAGGTCGTCCGAGTGTCAGCAATGCAGACGTGCAAGCTGTTGCCGCACTAATGGACAGTGATCGCCACCAAACGATTCGTCAGCTGGCCAGACAAACAGGATTAGCGCATACGATTGTGCTGCACATTCTGAAGGAATGCCTGTCCATGAGAAAAATTACTTCACGATGGGTTCCACATCAATTGACAGAAATGCAGAAATGGGTATGATACGATGCTGCCCGAACCCACCTGGAGCACTATGAGCGTGAAGAAGATTCTTTTTTACGCCGTATCATTACGCTGGATGAGACTTGGGCCCGATTGTACCAGCCAGAACTGAAACGCCAATCAAACGAATGGCGTCATCACAGGTCACCACGACGTTCAAATTTCGCCAGAACCCCAGCAATGTGAAAGTTATGGTGATTCTCGTGTACGACTGTGATGGTGTCATCCTAACGCATACCGTTCCCCCACAGCAGACTGTCACTGCGCAGTATTACTGCTCATTTTTTGGGCAGAATCTCCGACCAGCTCTGAGAAAACAACGGCGACACTTTCTGCAGAACGCTCCTCTCATTTTGCATGACAATGCTCGGCCACATGCAGCACAAGCTGTGACTGATTTGTTCAAGAGATGGGGCTGGGAAGTGCTTTACCATCCACCATACTCTCCAGATCTAAGCCCTTGTGACTATGACTTAATTCCTAAGATGAAGGAACCACTTTGTGGCACTAGCTTCCAAACTGTTCCTGAGATTCTTGCGGCAGTAGACTGGTCCATTCAA